GTTAGGACATGTGTTTCCCTCGTCGTCGTTTGGATGGCAGCGACCTCGACGGTTGGAATAAATATTCCCCGGTCCTGGCTCCATCTTGGCGGTGTCATGGCGGTGATGGCAATTGCAGTGATTTCTTTGGGACTTTCTTTCTATTTTTTGGGGCGGATTTTCTGCATATGTTCTTGGGCTTGTATCTTCCTTGTCCCTTCCTGAGTGATTACATGTATGTGTGTTGTATTGGGACTTGTGATGAATAAATCAATGGTAATATTCTCAAAAAAAAACAGGTGCATAATGCTCAATGTTCAGCAGATATTCACTTGGTGGGTTGGTGAGGCACGTGAACAAAGATGGCAGGAGCAGTTCAACGGTTGTGGCAAATCAAGCTAAGTATAGCTAGTCTATGGTTGCAAGCCTGCAACCATCTCTACTTTCTCAAATTTGTACCTTTTCATCAAATTATTGAATAAAGAACTTTGTATTGATTCCAAACTAGAAAAGTATTCTTATTTGTGTTGGAAAACATAGTAGAAAAACAAACGTACATGCAAGTCCAAGATCAATATGAAGAAGCAAATACGTTAGATCAGATCTTTACCAATTAGAACGCAGTGCACAGAAGAGTTAGTGAAGATCGTTAGTGCAGATTCCCGCAGCTACAGTTAAACCTCCCAACTGCAATTTTCTTTCTGTGGAACTAGGATCAAGATATGTTTTCATGACTACTTTTTTCATAGACATAGTGCATTTTTCATATACATCTAATTTTTTATATAGTTTAACATTTCAAAATACATGTTTAACATTTTTTCAAATGCTTCTTTGAATACATGTTTTTTTTTCAAATACATGTTCAAGCATTTTTTAGAAAACTATGCAAACAATTTTTTTCACTAGATACACAATTTCCTTAAAATGTCACAAATGTTTTGTTCAAAACACGCAAGTTTTTTTTTTTGCAATTGTAACATACATTTTTCTGAATGATACATAACACTATTTTGAATCACATGAATTTTTTTTCTACATTGTATAACTTTTCAAAAAAAAGTCGCTTACATTATTTTTGAACATGTGAACATTTTAGAAACGTCACATACGTATTTTTACCCTACATTTACATTTTTTGTATGTGTGACGAGCATACAAAAAAAATAACTATGCTATTTGTAGTACATGTATTTAGTATTTTTTCCAAATATAGAAAAAGTAAAAAAACATGCATGCGACGCCAGTGAAACGAGACAACGTGGTTTCTTGGCCGGCTCGCTGCAGGCGACGCGGTCTTCTGTCCCGCTTAAAGTGAGACATGGACTCGTCCGTGACTCTCACAACCAACCGCACAATGAGTTAAAGGTCTTCTTTTTTGACGTGAGTTAAGAGGTCTTATGTCTATATGGGCTAGATTTTTTTTAAGAGTGTACCTTCTTATGCAGATATTTCAATTCGGTTGGTTTTATCCATTGCCCTGGGGAGGCCTATATGGCGGCTGATGTATTAGCTAGTAGGAGTAGATCAGAAGCGCCGAGGACTATTGTTTGGCAACCTGAGCCTCCGGATTTCCTAATTGATGTAACAAATGATGTATCCGTATTCGTGCATGAAATATAAACCGCCACAGTATTCCCTTAAAAAAAGAGGTCTTCTGTCCACATTATTTTTGTTTTTTTAGATTCTGTCTACATTGTATAAAGAGAAGGGGCCTCTTAACTATGGCTTAACATCGTGTATAAAGAGAAGGGAAAGACCGACCAGCGTGGGCCTGTTGTCTCGGCGCTGCAGTCGTATTTGGGCTAGCCCAGGCGAACGGTTTAAGAGGCCCCGACGTTGGCCCAAACATAAAGGTCTCCTCGGCTCGGGCCGCTCCAGCCGATAAAAAAAGAGAGATACGAACACCGCCGCTCGCCGATGGCTAGTTGGCGGCCGGCGGCGGCGATCCGGTGCCGCTGGCGCTGGTAGAGGGGACGCGGCTGTACGTGCCTGAATGGCCGGAAGAAGATCGCTGAATCCGCCCCGCCGCCGCCAGTCTCAGCTCGAGGTGAGCACACTGGCCCTTACCCTAACTCTGCTTGACTTATCGGTTTATTATCATCTGCCCCTGAAAATGCAACCTTCGCCCCTGAAAAATTCTCAGATTTTGTTCAGTGATGTAGCTATGGGGATGCGGTGGTCTTCTATGTGATTGCTTTGCCTAGTCGCCGGTCGCCACACATTGGGGATTGGGGTAGTACTGTACAGAGGGCAGTTGGGAATTGAACAATCAAATGTTTTGCAACTCGTACAGAAACTGGTGTTACTTACGCTCCTTTAGAATTCATTGTCCTGCTGTTGAACACAACAATTAAAGTTTATCATAATCTAGGCTGGATACCGACGACAATACGCTATGGGCGATTCTGATGTAGCTGGTTCTAATTCAAGTTTAACACATTGATGTACATCATTTTTTAGAGTGAAATAGATCTTATATATTGTATATCAAGGGCTGTTACAATCCTTACAGAATCAAAGGGGAAACAAAACTACTACTCCATAATTTTATAGTGAAAGAGAGCTTATATATTGCACATCAGCTACAAGAGCAGCTTCCTCGTCTGTTCTAGCATAATATGCAAGCTGGTGGGCAGCTCCATTGCTCTCTCTTATGACATTACACATGCAGCCTGCACTCCGGAAAAATCTCCATCACTCCCTCGGTCAGTCTCTTCTCTGAATTCTTTGACAACGCCTACTACTCCGCTGTGTAGTCCATTTCAGCCACAGCCGGCCACCCTGTAAATTTCAGCTAACTGACGGAGGCCAACCAGCCATCACATCGATAGCTTGTAAGCCTCCTCTGCCTCAGAGCACGCTCTTATCTTTCTAATTAGCGTAAGTGGGATAGATTATTTGGATTTAGGTACCTTTGTCTTGTTTCATTTAAGGATACCGTGAAAGATCTCTTATAATAGAATTTGTAATTTCTTACAAGGTTGACAAAATGGAAAAGAAAAAGGGGCCCAAGGCTATATCAGTTTAGAATTACTTATGACCATTCAGGAACAGAGAGAAACAAGTCATCTGCATAACAGAGTACAATCCTTCTTCCATTACATGTCAGATCTGAATTTGTCAACAGAAAACTGAAACAGAATAAGAATTCATAGAAGGCAACTACAGACACACCACAGAGCAGTGGCTTGGTAGATGTTTTGCACTGTTGGTATTGTCTCCACCAGACCACTGTTCTAATGGTAGATGTTTTACAGTGTATATTTGTCATACACTGTACCCTTCTAACTTACATCAGGTTGTACAAGGTATGCAGTTGCAGTTTTTGGCAACAACATGGCAGCTCTGTAAGACTGATCCAGCTTACAAAACATCAATTTTTAAGAAAATACAATTGGAAAAATATTATCATTTATCATTTAAAAAGATCCAAAGCCTTCTGCACACTGTCTTCTCTTCAGTTTCTTGATCCTCTATTCAACAGATAGGCAAGGGCTCACCGTTCCACTCTTTGAGGCACTCGAGCAGCGCGTCGATGTGCTTGCCTTGGTTCATGGCGATAAACACCTTGTCCACCTCTTCCCCAGGAGACCGCGTCTTCTCCCCAGTCAGGTACTCAGTCCCAAGCTCCTTGCGCACCAACCTGTAGAGCGGGTATGACCGGCATTCGGTGATACGGTTCTGCAGCGCGGCGGTGCCGTTCTCCACGGAGATCCGGGCAGCCTCAACCTCCTTTGGTAGCTCTGCACGGAGCTCCTGCTCGAACGCGGCAAGCTTGGCAAAGACAGATGACTCCACGTCGAGCTCGGCCTCACCATTGGCCAAGGCGTGCTCCACGAGAACCGCACGCATCTTCTGCATCAGTGGGTAGTTGGCGCTGCAAGGGTCGTCTGCATACGCGAACACCGCCTCACGGTCAATCGTGAGCAGCAGGTCCTTCTCGCAGAATCGCGCATTGTGGAGGTGCGCATTGTTGGTGGTGCTCAATGTCTTCCTGGCTGTCATCTTCACGCAGTTCTTGACGGCATCCTTGACATTCTCCTCGAGATGGCGGAGGTCGATGGCCTGACACAAGGCGACCATGAATGTGGATGACATGAGCTTGAGTATGTCAATGGCCTCGGCGGTCTTCCTGGAGGAGATGAGACCAAGAGAGTTGATATCTTGATTGTGTTGCTCGGCGCTTTGGACATGGTTGGTCACCGGGTTGCCCAAGAACTGGAGCTCGGAGCAGTATGAGGCCATGGCAATCTCAGCTCCCTTGAAGCCATAGTCCAAACTCGGGTTGCGCCCGCCGGAGAGGTTGGAAGGCAAACCGTTGTTGTAGAGGTCGTTCACCAGCTCCGAGAACTGGGCAAACATGAGCTTGCCGATCGCAGCAATGGCAAGCCTGGTGTTGTCCATGGACACGCCGATGGGCGTACCCTGGAAGTTGCCGCCATGGATGGCCTTGCCACGGGAGACGTCAATGAGTGGGTTGTCGTTGACAGAGTTGATCTCACGCTCGATTGACTTGGTGGCAGCGCGTATCACCTCTATCTGGGGGCCAAGCCATTGTGGCGATGTTCGGAGTGCATACCTATCTTGCTTTGGCTTCATCAACGGGTCAAGCTCGCCGAGCTTCTTTGCGAGTGCCATGTAGGAGCTTCCTTCAAGGATGTGCTCCATGATGGCGGCAGCTTCGATCTGCCCGGGGTGGTGCTTTAGCTTGTGTGTCAAGTGGTCGGTGTACTCAGGCTTGCCGTTCATGACCTCGCAGAAGATGGCCGATAGAACCTCGGCAAGGAGGCTAAGGATGTTAGCCTCGAAAAGCACCATGGATGCAAGCCCAGAGCCCACTGCCGTGCCGTTCACCATGGCAAGCCCTTCCTTGGGCTGCAGCTCAAAGAAGCCATGCTGGATACCGGCGATCTTGAATGCCTCGGCCGCGTTAACCTTGCTGCCGTCTGGGGCAGTGGCCACGGAGTTTGCCCGACCGGTCACCAGGCCCGCGATATAGGAAAGTGGAACAAGGTCGCCGGAGGCGGTGATCGTGCCCCGGAGCGGCAGGCATGGTGTCACGTTGGCGTTGAGAAGCGCAGCGACCGTCTCGAGGATCTCGAAGCGGATGCCGGAGTACCCCTGGAGCAGAGTGTTGACACGGACGAGCATCGCCGCCCTTGTCGCCGCGGCAGGCAGAACATGTTCGTGGCCACCGGTGCCAAAGGCTCCGGCATTAAGGAATCTGAACAAGCAATAAGTGCACAAGAAAATAAGGCTTCCAGATCACAAAAGAAAAAGGAGTACAGGACGATCAACTACTGAAATGTCTAATTTGTTGTTGGTTTAGTTCAACTGATTCGTACCTGATGAGCTCCCTCTGGAGAGCACCGCCCTCCTTGGTCCTCCGGTGGGATGTGGCGCCGAAGCCGGTGGTGACACCATAGCTGTCTGTGCCGTTCGCCATGCTGTTCATGACCCAGTCACTGCTCTCCTTGACCCGGCCGCGGGCAGACTCATCGAGCTCCACCCTGGTGTCGCTGCCGGCGGCCACAGCGGCGACCATGGCGATGGTCAAGCTGGCACCCTCCATGGTCACCACCGGCCTACGGTACTCCTCGACCATCCGCTTCACCGCGTCCAAATGGCTCCCGGACAGCTCCTCCGCCGCCTTCCCCCAGTTCAGTGGGTCGGCCCGCGCAGGCTGCGCCACGCACAAGCCATTGCCGTTGCCGGCGACCTTCCCGTTCTCGCACTCCATCGAGATATGCAAATTAAGAAGTAAGCTAGAAACTTGGCAGCTGTAAGTATGTGTATCTGGATGAACTCTGTAAGTGGTAGAAGGACTTGCGCTGAAGTGGAGCTCAAATTGGAGAGGAAAGCGAGGGAGGCTCTTCTTGGAGAGGAATGGAGGAAGAGCATGGGTTAAATAGGTAGGGTGGTGGGTGGGTGGGTGTGGACTTGACCCCTGGATTGGTCCTAGTCAGGGTTGGTGTATTCTTGTGTTAATCATGCATGCAACGACCCAGTTTGCTCTTAGGAGAAACGAATCTAGCTAGCTACTTGGTCCATGCCACTCGTCTTCTTCCTTCTAATGGTGAACGTTTCAAACAAGCGTACGTAGTGGCTGCTTGCACGATGCATAAACTACTACTGTAGGAAATCGTATTAAAAAACAGCTACACGCACGGAGGTATGGTCTTTGCTTTGACAAAGTATCTGTGACTCGTCCAAAGCAGGAGTTGTTATCTGCCTAATGATCCACAATAGCTTTCACTTTCACTAGTATTTTGTTGGGTGCAACGAACCCCACATATTCTATTTAATCTTAAGCTTGCGCGTGTTCGGTCACCAGCGAGGGATATTCCGTTTTGCACTGGTCCTAGAGCGCTGCATGATATGTATACCACCGTACGTGTGAAAGATGCAGTGCCACTTGACTTGCCAGATTTCTTAGTGCCACTTGACTTGCGAGACATGAGTTTGCTCGGTGGAAACGATTTCTTAGGAAAAAAAACGGCCATCCTCTGGTCAGTCATCCACGCGCACATGTGAACGACACCACAAGCATGCCACAGAAAATTAGGACCAGATATGCGTGAGTGGTCAAGTCGTTGGTCACACCAAGTCGTGTATGTGCCCATATTTCATTGCCGACTTAGCGAAGTTTCAGTCGACACGCCTCCCGTCGGATCTTTCTTTGCTTCATGATTCGCGCTAGAAGTGCTTTGTCTTGTTTTACCCTATGTAACGCCCGTGTCCAGCCTGTTTGCTGGTTTTTCTTTTTTCTGTTTGGCATCTCCGTGTGTCAGGGGACAGGGAGGGTTTCTAAGTGGGCTGGATAGTTATTAGGGGGGCCTTTTTTCGTTTGTTTTTATTTTCTTTTGTTTCTCCATTATCCCGTTTTTTTTCAGCTATTATACTGTAGATTGGATTAACCCTTCTCCAGACCCTACGCAAGCGGGAGCTACATGCACCGGGCTGCCCTTTTTTATTATACTGTAGATTTGAGGGGATTTGTTGGTTCTAGTAGGTTTCAGTAGATTGGATTAAGCAGCTATCTAAGGGGTTCTCTCAGTTCAGTAGTTTGGACGACATAGAGATTAATAGTTTCTTGTTATTCAGTACTCAAAAACTAGTTTCGATCAGCAGAGATTAGGAGGTTTTATTTTCCATTTCCCCATTCGTAGCAGATGTTTTCCCCATATGTGCCTTTTTTTGTGTGTGTTCTTATTTGCCATACTTTTTTCAAGCAGAGAGAATATCCCCATGTGTGTCCCTTTTTTTTGTGTTCTTTTTTGCTATTGACTTCATCGACCCCACCCTTGACTACAATGGTTGAGAGTGACTACTATCACAACACTGGACTGGTAAGAAATCACAGAAGGAAGAATATATTTATGAGAAACATGACCATGAAGCCAGAGAGGGCGACTCGGGGGCGACTAGGGTTTCCCCCGCGCCGCCACCCCCTCAATCGCAGCCCCTCCTCGCCGCCACCTGAGGGGATCGACAGGCAAGCCTGCTGGGTCGTCGATGAAGGCGGCGGTGAGGTGCTGCGTTGCTTCGTGCCCCCGCGAAGGACCTGGAAGCCGGGGCGGCGGCCCCGGACGGCGAGGCGGCGCTGCCTCCGCGACCGGTGGCGCGCGCAGGAAGAGGTGTTCGACATCCTCGGCTGCAGCGGGCGGTCGCGGCGTGGAGTCCCTCTGCCCCAGATCTGAAGGTCAGGCGCCCTCCTCCCCTGCTCTCTCCTCCCCGCCGGTCGTACCCTTCTACGACTCTGGTCGCTAGATCCGGTGCTGGTGGGGTGCGGGTGCTCAGGTTCGAGCTCGGGGGAAACCCTTGGACGGTCCTCCGGTCACGACGGCGACGGCGCGTGTGCGCGTCGTGTTCTTCGCTGGAGGCGCCGTCGATGGCTCTCCTCTTCACCCCCGTCCCAGTGTTGGAAATATGCCCTAGAGACAATAATAAAAGGATTATTATTATATTTCTTTGTTCATGATAATTGTCTTTATTCATGCTATAATTGTATTATCTGGAAATCATAATACACGTGTGAATACATAGACCATAATATGTCCCTAGTAAGCCTCTAGTTGACTAGCTCGTTAATCAACAGATAGTCAGGGTTTCCTGACTATGGACATTGGATGTCGTTGATAACGGGATCACATCATTAGGAGAATGATGTGATGGACAAGACCCAATCCTAAGCATAGCACAAGATCGTGTAGTTCGTTTTGCTAGAGCTTTTCCAATGTCAAGTATCTTTTCCTTAGACCATGAGATCGTGTAACTCCCGGATACCGTAGGAGTGCTTTGGGTGTACCAAACGTCACAACGTAACTGGGTGACTATAAAAGTGCACTACAGGTATCTCCAAAAGTGTCTGTTGGGTTGACACGGATCGAGACTGGGATTTGTCACTCCGTATGACGAAGAGGTATCTCTGGGCCCACTCGGTAATGCATCATCATAATGAGCTCAAAGTGACCAAGTGTCTGGTCACGGGATCATGCATTACGGTACGAATAAAGTGACTTGCCGGTAACGAGACTGAACGAGGTATTGGGATACCGACGATCGAGTCTCGGGCAAGTAACGTACCGATTGACAAAGGGAATTGTATACGGGGTTGATTGAATCCTCGACATCGTGGTTCATCCGATGAGATCATCGAGGAGCATGTGGGAGCCAACATGGGTATCCAGATCCCGCTATTGGTTATTGACTGGAGAGCCGTCTCGGTCATGCCTGCATGTCTTCCGAACCCGTAGGGTCTACACACTTAAGGTTCGGTGACGCTAGGGTTGTATGAATATGAGTATGCAGCAAACCGAATGTTGTTCGGAGTCTCGGATGAGATCCTGGACGTCACGAGGAGTTCCGGAATGGTCCAGAGGTAAAGAATTATATATAGGAAGTGCTGTTTCGGCCATCGGGAAAGTTTCGGGGTCACCCGGTATTGTACCGGGACCACCGGAAGGGTCTCGGGGGTCCACCGGGTGGGGCCACCTATCTCGGAGGGCCCCGTGGGCTGAAGTGGGAGGGGAACCAGCCCCTGGTGGGCTGGTGCGCCCCCCCTTGGCCCCCCTGCGCCCAGGGTTGGAAACCCTAGGGTGGGGGGGGGGGCGTCCACTTGCCTTGGGGGGTACTCCACCCCCCTGGCCGCCGCCCCCCCGGGAGATCTGATCTCCAGGGCCGCCCCCCCTGGGGGCCTATATAAAGGAGGAGGGAGGGAGGGCCGCCGTACCCTGAGTCTTGGCGCCTCCCTCTCCCCTGCTACACCTCTTCCTCCTCTCACAGTTGCTTGGCGAAGCCGTGCCGGAGTCCTGCTGCATCCATCACCACGCCGTCGTGCTACTGGATCTTCATCAACCTCTCCTTCCCCCTTGCTGGATCAAGACGGAGGAGACGTCACGCTGACCATACGTGTGTTGAACACGGAGGTGCCGTCCGTTCGGCGCTAAGATCTCCGGTGATAGGATCACGACGAGAACGACTACCTCAACCCCGTTCTTTTGAACGCTTCCGCTCGCGATCTACAAAGTCGTATGTAGATGTATCTCTCCTTTCACTTGTTGCTTAGATGAACTCATAGATGGATCTTGGTGAAACCGTAGGAAATTTTTTATTTTCTGCAACGTTCCCCAATAGTGGCATCATGAGCCAGGTCTATGCGTAGTTCTCTATTGCACGAGTAGAACACAAATTTGTTGTGGGCGTAGATCTTGTCAACTTGCTTGCCGCTACTAGTTTTTTCTTGCTTCAGCGGTATTGTGGGATGAAGCGGCCCGGACTGACCTTACACGTACGCTTACGTGAGACAGGTTCCATCGACTAACATGCACTAGTTGCATAAGGTGGCTAGCGGGTGTCTGTCTCTCCTAGTTTAGTTGGAGCGGATTCGATGAAAAGGGTCCTTATGAAGGGTAAATAGAAGTTGACAAAATCATGTTGTGGTTATTCGTAGATAAGAAAACATTCTTGCTAGAACCCAATTGCAGCCACGTAAAAGATGCAACAACAATTAGAGGACGTCTAACTTGTTTTTGCAGCAATTGTCATGTGATGTGATATGGCTAGAAGTTGTGATGAATGATGAATGATATATTGTG